CACTCACTTCGCCCAAAAGAGATGCAATTATGGTACATGTTTGAAAGGGGTATGAGAGGTGGCCAAGCCCCAGAAAGGCTGCATCCTTTTTAGGTAGCACCAGAGAATTCCTTAGTGCATTTTATGAGGTGAGGAGAGATAAACTGTGGTGGGAGGGCAGGGAAACAGAAAGGTATTTGGAAATGCTGGCCAAAATCCCCAAGCAGAAGTGATAGCCTAAATGCTATTACAGCCAAAGAGTTTTATTATCATTGGTATTTATTACCTGTTAGTTGGCATAATGCCATCCCAAAAAAGGATACAGTCCCTGCCCATAGATCTTACTGTCTAAGTGAAGAGATCAAGAAGACAAGTAGAAAAAGATGGAGCAAAGAGGCTTGATGGCTCTTGGCCATGTCCTGACTACACAACGTGTGTGGGAACAGCCATGCATCAAGACAGAAAGACTCCCTGCTCTCACCTTTATTGGGCAGCTAGGTTTTCAAGGATTTTGACAACTGGGACTATTCAGAATGATTTGTATAACATTGGTTGCATTGTGGGTTAGATCAGAAAAGGCAATTGTGCAAGGTATTAGACAGAAATGCGTGAGTAAATACATTTCAGAGCAAACTGGCAATAGCAGTGTGTCTGTCCTACGCTCGCCTAGCAGGGTAGAACAGAATACCACGTTCTCATTCCTACTGAGACCCTTCCCAGCTGCCAAAACCCATTGACTAATGGTTTGCATAAGGAGGCAGGACACAGATTTTATAAGCACCATGCATTCAGAATTGTGCCTAACAATTCAGTGTATTGAAAAGAAACACTTCTTACTGCCACCGTTTGTTAGGCAGTGAACAATATCACTCCATTCCAAATCACCAAAATAAATCATCAGAAACTGCTGCATTTAGCCTCAATAATAAGAATCTCTGGATCAAAAATTTAAGTTTCACTTCAGATTTTTAGCAAAACAAGTTAAAAGTGTTACAACACAAGCCTCGAGACTCACTTAAGCTCCAAGAAAACCCAGACTTTCTTCTGGTGCATCCTGTGCAGTATTAGTTTATCAGACAGTATCAAGAAAGAGCTTTAATTTCCCTATCTGCAGATTTCTGCTCAGATTGGGCTTATGTGTTACTTACAACACATGCATTTCCTTATCTGCCTCTGCAACAGTATACACATTCTACATAATTTTTAATTTGAGGTACAAATTACAGTGTTTATCATAATTTAATTAAAAAATAATTTCACAATAAAATTGGGGGTTTTGCCAAACCAGTATTTTCTATCAGAAAACTGCACACAATTTTTCAACCAGTTCTAGTTTCAACTTGATTACAGGAATGGGGTTACACAAGTCACATGACAATTTTTACTTGTATTGCTCATTATCTCAGGGTAGCAGTATCAACAGTTAGACTAGCACAGCTCCAGCAACAAAATATATAGACACATAGAACAAAAACCCCACAATCCCTTCCTTAATAAAATATTTCCAAATATCTCACTCTTCTGAGTCTCTCCCAGAAAAAGGGACTACATCATACAGATGCATATAATGAGAAGAATGTGCATATTTATCTGAGTTAAAAGATACTGTATTGCATCAGGCCTATAACAAAGCCACCCAAAGCACTTCTTAATATTCTTACTGTGTCTGCCTGGAAAACAGTACGAAGAGTAAGAGTGCTTACCTCGATTTTGTTTTCAATGTAATCCCATATGCCAAGGACCACAATCCTCAAAATAGTCTAGTAAAATAGATTAGGGGGGAAAAAGATGATGAATGTTATTGTAATTTTTGATAAACATTTAGTCCTTTATCTATTTAGGGGTCACTTGTCTTATTTAAGCATTACACATTTCTTCTCAATAATAATGAGGATCTAGAAATAGCTACACTTCTGAATTATAAAAGCAGGTATTGCTTTCCAACCACTCAGTGAAACTTCCATAAACAAGTTCCAAGTTCAAATGTTCATCAGTCTTTCCATCCTCCTAAAATTTCTCTTTTAGACTTGTGAGATGCAGATTACCAACCCTCCCCACCCCAGCCCCCTGACCCAAGCCTATGTAAGATCCACTGTGGGGCCCCCTCAGTTGGAATGGGGGAAGATTCTCTTTTTTATTCATCTTTGATATGCCAGTGCTTACTATTTTCTAAGAAAAGAAAAGAGGCACTGCCCCCTCTTGATGCCTAAAGATACTGACATTTCATCAATCTGAAGAGCAGAGGCTCTTATTCTCCCCCTCTAGGGTACAGGGCTGTTGTCATCTTATAAAATCCCAGAAAGTCATAGGATAAGGGAGCAGAATATCTCTATGATCCTCCACTATTAAGCACAAGAGCTATAAGTAGCATCAGTAGCTAGAAAAGAGGAATAAAGAAAGAACACAGAATGAACCAATGGTGAATTCCAATTAAAAAATCCAATAGCATCTTTCCTGAGTTTTAACCCAGCTTTCAGAAGACACAATTAAAAAATAAAAATCAAGCAACCAACTCATGATTGAAATTGAATTCACATAAAAGCATAACTGGTAGGGATGTTTTCTGCCAACAGCAACATCAACAGATGTTGACAGACACTACAGACATCAAGAATCTAACTGCAGAGTCTAACACTGGATTTTTCAGTACTGTTCCTACGCACAGTTTTGCCAAACCCCATGAACTCAATTGCCTCACTTGGCCCGGGATGACTGTGCTGAACTCTATCTTGGCACTCCAAACCTGGATAACAGCACTTAATCCTGTTTTGTAGAGGGAGACATTGCTGTGAGAGACATGATGCTTTCAGAGCCCAGCCTCATACCATCAGCGAGCAGGAAAGAGAACCAGCCAACGCTTACTCAGAAATGGCGTATATGAAGCATTGGCCAAGTCTGTCCGAGAAAGGGAGTTGCTAGCCAGAAGAGAAAATGCAGCGCGCTCTTTCCTCTACAAAAAATAATGAGACTCTACATAGACACCAAGAACTGCTAATGCTGCTGGTCTGTACTCCTAAAAAGAACATTTTACTTCCAAAGCATTTTACAAGCGCAGCATAGGAATAAGCCTATTCACAGCAATTTCCTTATTAACCTATATGCTCGAGGTTTATATGTGGAGGAAGAGATGCACAACAGCAGCTCCTCAAATCCCTTAATGACTCTGAATTCACCAGCATGATGTAATGTGATGTAAGTGCAAGGTGTAAGTACACATGCTGCTGTACAACCAAGGCACTCCTGCAGCCTCAACTCAGGCCCTGAGCAGAATACTTTCAGACAGAAGCATCCCAGCTCCTCTGTAAGCACCTCCCTCATTCCCCATTGAGAAGCTGCACAAAATGGTTAAGTACAAGCTCCTTATGAGCCCACAGGTTCAGCTAGATAAGCTAACCTGGGGTCCACTGCAGCAAGTTCCACAGCAGACACCTGTCAGGAAATGCATGAGGAAAAGCAGTGCTTTCTTTGAAGCTTGGGACGCTACCCTTCTTACAGCAACCCTGTTGACAGCACAGAGAAATCTGACTCATTTTCTTCTACGCTTAGGCAGCATTTATGAAGTGCTAGGTCAATGAGCAACTAAAGGATGGCTGAACACTTAACACATTTACAGTAACTGATGGTGAAAATCTTTCTTCCTTTGGACAGGTGTGTACAAAGGTATTTTCACTTAAATAATAAGGCATATCTACACAAAGAAAATAGAAACACTGTGTCACAACCCTAAATGTGATTTAACATGGGGCTGTTGAGGGAACATGAAAAAGGATTTTCCTTTCTGCCTTTTCAATTCCTCATTGCAGTGTTTAAATTGGACTGTGCTACTGTCATATTAATGGGTCTGAGCAGTTCCACAGGCTGGAAGCTAGCACAAATGTTTTCATTTTCAGTCTGCTGGTGTGAATCAGCACAAGTCAGCAATGACTGTAAGTCTACTCGGCAGACATTTAATGCAGTAATGGTTGTTGGTGCTACGTCTAGAAGATAGGTCTCCTCCTCACAAAAAAATGCCTTGATGATTAGCATCTTTGCTCTCAGCTAGAGCAGACACTGTAGGAAGGGGGACCATGAGGGCAGAATGAACCCAGCTCCCCATCTGAGAGACACACCCTTCAGAACAAATTTGGCACAACTGAGTGTTAAGCTTTAAAAACATTTGTTCTGTATGGAAGGTCTCAAAACTATGCACCAGCATTACTCGCCAGCTTGTCACTCTTAACAAAAAACCTCACATCACCACTGAAGCTACAGAAGTGATGTAAGGCAGCTTTTCCTTGGTGCCCTGGGGGAACCGGGCGCCCCAAGAAAGTACCATGAGTGAGTCACAGGCTGTGTGCATCTGGAGACACAGATGCCATACACTTACTGCCCACTGGCTAGTCTTCACTAGTGGCAACTCCAAACTAGGTTTAGCTTTCTCTATTCTCCCTCTGTTTGTACAAAGCACGAGATCACATCCACTGCTGCTGCCATAACTCTTACCCAGACGAGTTTGAACCAAGCAAATTTGGACTTCACTGGGCAAATCTCCCTGACTGTTCAATATAATAAATACTTTGACTGAAATGAAAGCATCGGTGTTACTTATAAACGACATTTTAGTATTTTTCCTAAGAAATCAAAAATATCTTTCAAACAAATGCATATTGCATTTGATTGTGTACTTTCTCTGTAAAGAACTTAAAAAATGAGAGCCTGTAGCAGAATCTGAAAAACACAGAGACAGAAATTAATAATCCAGGAAACTTCCTACACACTTCCAGGACCAAACTGTCCTGGTTTTAGCTGGGATAGAGTTGATTTTCTTCCTAGTAGCTGGCATAGTGCTGTGTTTTGGATTTAGTATAAGAATAATGTTGATAACACACTGATGGTTTAGTTGTTACTAAGTACTGCTTACACTAGTCAAGGACTTTTTCAGCTTCCCATGCTCTGCCAGGTGCACAAGAAACTGGGAGGGGACACAGCCAGGACAGCTGACCCAAACTGGCCAAAGGGCTATTCTATACCATATGACATCATGCTCAGTATAGAAACTGGGGGGAGTTGGCCGGGGAGGGCAGCGATCACTGCTCAGGAACTGGCTGGGTATCAGTCAGTGGGTGGTGAGCAATTGCATTGTGCATCACTTACTTTGTATATTATTATTTTCCCTTCCTTTTCTGTCCTATTAAACTGTCTTTATCTCAACCCACAGATTTTACTTTTTTTTTTTTTCCCCGATTGTCTCCCCCATCCCACTGGGGAGGGGGAGAGTGAGTGAACAGCTGTGTGGTGTTCAGCTGCCTGCCAGGTTAAACCACAACAATGGACCAAACTGAAAAATGCGTATAAATGAAAAGAGAATTGCAACTGTAACATTCATCACAGACAAAACATAAATGTTAGTCAGACTCTACCATTTGTAGATACAAGAATCTACAAGAAATAGGGAAAAAATGGAGCGGTACTTCCATTTCCTACTGATGTGCAGGCATCTTTCAGCACTGTAGCAAATGCACATGTATAGTTTTGCATTACACTACAGGCATTCTGCATTTTTGGACACATAGCAAAGCAAAACATTAAATACCAGTGTGAGTACTTTTCTGTGAAACGCCACTGCCACCTTGGTTTTTTGTACTTGAAAAAGAATGCTTTAACTTTTCTTGACTGGAAAGCTTTTAATTAGAAAGTCCTTAACATATATAAATATATATAGTTATATCAGAAATACATTTTTTGTTTTCTGAGAAAAGCTAAATCATTACATAAATGTCTGTCCAGTGCACTAATAAAAGGTAAGTAACAGAACACTTCTGTTAACTTCTTTAAATTGGAGTAAAGCCAGATAAAAGTAAAATTTTAAACCATTTTTCAGACAGAAGTGTAATTTTGAGGTTGACAGCATCCCTTGGTGACACACAGTTGTTTGCACAACATTAACTGTCTGCAGTGAAGTTTATGAAGAACTGTGTGATGCTGCAGGTTTTCTCTCTCATTTTGTAAGGAAACCTGGCCAAGCCCTTTGCTGAGCCAGCCATGTGAATTCCCACAATCTGCATGAGCTAGCTACATTTGTCAGCTGACTGCAATGTACATTAGGTAATTTTAAATACTTTTTGCTTGCACAGTTAATATACAATTTACTGCTTAGTGACTCACCGTGCCAAATTCATCCGTAGTGTAAAGAAATCAAGAGGAGGCAGCACAGGAGGTGAATGAAGCTGGCTCACCACGTTTAGCTAACAGGAAAGGAGAGCAACTCTGCATTTCGAGATGAGGTAGTGATTGTACAAGAGACAGACAGGATAGAGTGAGGGGGAAAGGGTGTCTTTAGAAGAGCCCGCCCTTCCTTCCCTGCCACAAAACTAATCTACCTGTTACAGAGGGTCTTTACATCTGGCTTGTACAGAAACTCTGAAGATTAAGCTTCTGCCTTTTGGATGTATCTCATAAGACCAAATATTTATTGAAATCTTTCCCAGAAAGAACATCTTGCACCCAATCTGTAATTTCTAACCTCTCTTGTTTGGGTGACTCCACAGAGGACTTAGCTAATTCACTACTTAAAAGAATCTTCTTTTGCCATCTTCTGGTGTGCCTCTCCTGAGATACTGCATTAGCTGTTCTACTGCATGCTATCCCCAGGCCACCAGAGCATGGAAGAACATGTTAGTATCTTTAAAATGAGACACCCTTCTGTTTCTAGTGCATAGGCATCCTCCTCACATGGTTTCTCTTCAATCAAGGCTCTGAAAGGAAAAGTGTAACTCCCGAC